TTCCTCCGTCATGCGTGACCAGTAATCTTGACAATTTGAACGGAGCTATTCAATTTCTGAGCTAAATTATAAACATCTGAACAATATAAGGTATTTTCTGTATACGATGATAATATTTTCCCGTTTTTCGTGAATTTAACGTGTTTTCTGTAGAGAACTTTAAGTTTTATTTCAAATCTTGGACGTTGCAAAGAATGTTACGCATGACGAAACGCGTCAGTAAATCTGGTAAAGTTGACCCGGGTGAGAGGGTAACCCTATCCGTGAAATTTGTTTGTAAACCAGAGCTAACTTTAACCCGCTTCCTAGGGTAACCCTGGCACAAGGGTAACCCTCTCTCCTTGTAAAAAGGCCTTAAGCCCCCTAATCTAAAATCTCATTCACGTGAGTATTGACCACGTCGTCAAAGTCCCTGCTAGTTGATGGCCCTTAGGCTCTTGTGGCCTTTAGAATCGACGAGTTCATTTTCTAGAAAGAAAGCGACTTTTTGCATGCTATGATTGTGGGTGTTTCTTGTTTCCGTCGCTCTGCCTAAATTACTCCTGTCGTTGAGGCTAGTGAGGAATTAGAACTGGCGAACAGTCGAGGCACAAGGGAGAAATCGCCCCATGTAAGCGAATCCAAGACAGTCGTGGATTCTGGATCCACGCCGTGGATTCTTGAGTCCTTGTCAGTGGATTGGATTCCGGATTCCAGTCGTTAGGGGGATTTCGGATTCAGGATTCCTCAATCAAAAATTCACCCCGGATTCTATAATTCGATTTCCCTTACATGGGGCAAGGCAAATGTTATTTTATACATGCATATTTCTATATTCTATTTGAACTGGAGCCAGCGACTTCTTTAGGCCCCACGCACAAGGTGCAAGATGTTTGTTTACAGATTAACTGTTAGTCGACGTGTAATGTGTTGGAGCAGTTAAGAATATCACACTACATAGTGATTAGTGTGTATTACGAGTTATATTGTTTTTAACTCTATCGTCCAAGCGACGTTAAAGAAGAATAGATAGCAATGTAAATTATGTTTATTGATATCATTTTGTATAAAGGTATTTTCTGTACTCGAAGAAGTAACATTGACAAAAGTCTGTTCTTATCTTTAGTCTGCAGTCTGCTTGCACTCCCTTATTTCGCATTCAATTGTCGAGGTCGAATGCTGGGCTAGACAGGATTCAAAATTTGTTTTCATTAAATTGTCCGAGGGGATGGGCTTAAGAAATTTCCTACTACCTGTAGCCCCACGGATTTTTTTTTTGTACTCTTCCCCGATCGAACTCAGCGATCGATCTCGTCAACAATCGCGCGGAAAATAGGCCCTAAAAACAGCTGAATTATGACAGCAAACCACCAAAGAAACAGGCGAGTTCAGTTTTTCCAAAATAAAATAAGTACGATAGGGGCCTCTGACCAGTTGTGGGGGCTTTTGTGGCCGAGCGGTAAACTCCGTATCAAGAGGTCCGTGGTTCAGGCCACGCCCGTCGCGTTGTTTTCTTAGACAAAGAACTTTCCTCCACTTTGTCTCTCTCCATCCAGGTATATAAATGGGTACCGGCGACATGCTGCTGTGGGGTAACCCTGCGATGGACTAGCATCCCGTCCAGGGGGGAGTAGCAATACTCCTAGGCATGCTTCATGATAAGGAAACCTGGATAAGCTCAGGCCGTTTGGCCCTTTGGCTCGTGTGCGCCTTTACCTTTTTACCTTTTACTGAAAGGACCTTTTTTCGTAAGTTTTCCGACTCAGCACGCACGTTTTTAAGACAAAGAAAACTCTAAAATGTCCCACTGTTACGGAATATTTACAACCCGACAATATTTTAATGTTAACTATTGTATGGCAGGGTTGTAAGATTGCATGTAAACGCGGTTTATTTCACTCCCTGGGGTTCCCCGCCTCAATGTGAACAGGCCCTAAGCCGCGTGCAAACGGACGCAACATTGTTGGCCAACAACTCTCAACATTGTTGGATGTTACATGTTGCGTCTGTTTGCACAGCCTGTTGCATGTTGCTGCTTGTAGTTGGGAGTTGTTGCGCAAAGTTTGAAACTGGTCAAACTTTTAGCCCCATGCAAACGGACGGAACATTGTTCCATCAACTCCCAACGTTGGGAGTTGTTGCGTCCGTTTGCACGTAGCTTACGTAAACTAGTCAAAAATAATTCATTTCACAGGTGCCCGCGTTGCATTCCACTGTGATTGCCTTCAAAGCGATACAGAGCGTTTTCGCATGACGCCACGAAGGCCATATTGGTGTTCCAAAACAACGAAACGGCGGCCATGTTGGTGTAGCGAGAAAATCCTTTTGGGAGTTGAACTCTTTTGTTATGTAAACGCTTTCTTTTGTCCCAATAAATTTGCATAGATGCTTGCCACGTGAGTGAAAACGCTCTATGTATGGTAAACTTTCTTTAATTCTAATTAGATGCATATGACCAACAATTTCGGCTAGTGCAATGCTGACTGTAGTTGGAGACTTCGCTTGTCCACTGAACCAGAGTTTATTTACCAGAGGGATGGAAACTGCGGAAAAGCGTGAGTACCTCTCAGTTTTTAGTTTTGTAACTTTCATGTTCAATGAATGTTCTGAAACCATTTTCCGTCGCCAGTAATTACTGGGCACGATGAGTACTTTTAAAATTTCCTCGAATTGCACTGCATGAGCCTTAAGACGGTCGTAAATTTTCTTATAATAAGTTTATATGGATAAAATTGAATAAATTCATTTTAATAAACAGCCGTTATGTTAAGCTCGGAGGGATACTCTCCCTGAAGCCTTTTTTTTAGCCACTCTGACATATAAATAATCAGAACTCAGAGTCTTTCAGCAGATATCGTCATCACCAAAAACAAAACAAAGGAACCAAACAATAGAGTTCTCCTGGGGGCTTAATTGTTTGGTTGTATTGTTTCCTTTGTTGTAAGTTATCTGCCCCTCGGTACCTATAGAAGGAACCGAACTTTATACGTGCTTGATGATGATGATGATGATGATGATAAACTTTATTTCAGTGTCAGGTCTTCTAGCTGGCCATGTAAGGCCTACTAATAGGGGACGCTAAATTAAAATACTATTAGCTCTAACTACTTAATATAAAAAATATATATTTCCAAAGAATAAAATTTACAAAAATATACATACTAAAAAAATATCGATAAAACGTATTCGGATTTATCGTATAAAACAATACTTATTGATTAAGAGGTATCCTTTTTGTCTAGAAAATGTCATTTATGTACAACATAGAAAGTAGTTTTTACGGCCTTCTGTGATTACTTTTTCAAGATCTACCTTACGAATTTTCTTTTTAAAGCTGTAAATTGATTCTGCGTTTTTTACATCCTTGCTTAATTTAAACCATATTACTGGACCCACAGTCTTAAGATGTTTCAAGTTAAGATCTTGTCAACTGTTTGCTGCCTCTACTTTTCGCTGCTACAGAAGAACAAAAAAGGATATGATAATGTTAACAACCTGGTCAAGTTGTTTTCTTCGATATTATTCAAGCTATACCTTCCCCACAAGGTAAGGAAGATGGAGGATATTGCATGGCCGCGCGGAGATACGAATGATTTTTCTTCGAGTGTTGAAAGTATATATTTAACGAGGGAGCCAGCCGCGAACGAGTCTGAGTGAAATATTTTCTTCATGAGAAGAGAAACTTCGTATCTCCAAGCAGCCATGTAATGTACTATTTATCATATAAACACCAATGAAATACCAAACCATTTCAGTTTAATATTTTTTTTGCAATGGTGATCTTTTTACGTGTGAAGATATTAAACATGTTTGCGCGCGAAAGCTCACCTGTTACTTCCTTGGTGTTTATATAATATAATTAGCAATTATTCCACGAGGGCGTGTTAGATATTCTTTATTTCTTCAAATGCCGCCTAGTATTTAAATTGCCCGTGGGGGGAAATCTCTATTCCTCATAAGCTCGGCTTCTCGGAGATTTCCCCTCCATAGTCACTCCTCCCAAGTAATGCACAAATTTTGAATTTAATGTTAATTAACCTATTTATTATCGGTTTTTATTCTGCTTGTAATTCATTGTGTGTGGCAAAATAATAAAATAAAATAAATAAATAAAATAGATATGAGATGGTAGCAGCCAACGAAAAAGCGCGAGTGGAATGATTGTTTCATTAAAAACGCCCACAAAATATCGAGAATTCTTCCCGACTTTATTTGTAAAAAAAAAACGATTTTCAGCTTGTTTTTAATTTTGAGCAAACGTGTACAGTTACCATGTTTGGAGAGCATGGTATAATGGCTCATATACCGTGGTGGCTTAAGCAAATCAGATCTCTAGAATTTTTAATAATAGGGCGTTGTCCCATAGTCGTAGCCTGAGAAAACAGCCGACATTTCACGATGCCACCTTTGGTTTCCCCTCAAAATGACGTCTGAGAAACGAGCGTAGAAATTCCATACTGATGACGCGTCACTACAAAGATCTTGGTAGTGCTTTTCATTGATGGTGCCACGTGGGACATTTGCCTCAGCCAATCAGAAGCACTACCCAGAGGTGGCGTTGTGAATTTTCGGCTGTTTTCTCAAGCTACCACAGTCGTAGCTAAATGACAACGTATGTCCAGCTATGACAAAAGAATTCGCAACAAGAAATGCAATTAAGAGTCGGCCAAGTCGTCTAGGTCGGTGGTCACTAATTTGAAGCTTTTTAAATTTATTTTTGTTCGTTGAAATAAACAGATTGGGAGGACTCAATAAAATGTCGGCAGCGGATCGGTATGAACTGCGTTCGGAAAAACTGGCTGCACGGTAAAGTGGTTTAATTCGTCCACGACCACAGCCGTGGACAATGTTGTTTGAATCAAAGAACGTTACGAGCCAGAAGTGCTTTCTTCTACTCATGTTAAAAGCGACGGAAGACTGCTTGAAGGGAGCTTTGCTCCATAAAACTGGTCCAACAACCACGACGCCGAAGTGTACGCTCCGTAGCGTCTTGTTGTTTTTATAAGATTATCAGCAACTACTTACCTTCCGGCCAAGTTCAGAGTGACGTCATCTCCAATAAGAATAAACGGGGCCCAGAGTCGCAACTCGCTAAACTGTTCAGATTCCCTCATGTAGTTCATGGTCCGATTAAGAGCTTCACTCGCACTTCGTCCCTCCACTAGAAACTTGTAGAAACTTTTCATAAACTCTAGAGTTGCTTCGTCGTCAATGGCCCATAGGGATACCAGAACAGATCGAGCACCGGCGCCCAGGAACGCTCGTGCAATGCCAACCACACCCTCAGCCTTTACCTCTCCACGACCACTGTGACAGCAGCTTAGTACAACTAGTTTCGCTCGAATCTTCACGTTTAAAACGTCAGTCATTGTCAAGAGAAAATCTTCCTCTGTGGGTATCGGAGATGATCGTATAGGATTTGGTGCCAAGACAATTTCTCCAGTTTCAATACAACCGTGCGCTGCGATGTGTACCAAGGACACTGAGGAGAGACTTTTCAAAACTTGTGTTTTTGTTGCCTCCGTCCCAGTGAGAGGCATGGTGTTAGTTATTTTTCCGATCATTTTTACTTCTTTTTCTGCACATGGAAGCTGTTGAAGTTTCCTTCTCCCACGCAAAACAACTTCTTGCACGCATGGATCTCCTACAAGCAAAGCTCCAGTTTCCCTGTGATACCCCGCTGGACAGTCTGCGAGGATTTTCAAACAATCTAAGGAAGGAATCATTCGGATTCTGAAAGTCTCACAAAGGTACTTTGAATTGGGTGTCATGAACGCAGCATAAGGAACCAACCACAATGGGCCGTCTGGAACAATGATAAGTTCATCGCTGCTTATCAAATCTGCTATGGGACTAACAGCAATGTCATACAAGATTTTCAAAGGATTGTCCTGACGTGCCATTGAACGGGCCTGGGACTGGTCCGTGTCTATCCATTCACTATCTCCTAAACTTTTCAATGAACGATCCTCACATTTCCGACAAATCCTAACACCGATATCTGTACGGACACTTTCCGTCAACGAAGAAAGATAAGATTCCGCATAATCTGGCGAAAAACCGTCACTGATTTTCTTAATCCTGCAAGTAAGTGACAATTTTGGACCTTTTCTAGTAACCCAGGAAAAAACTCGTTCGCCATAAACTGCCGTGAAAGCCACATTTGAAGGAATAGTACTAGATGCCTGAAGTATGGTTTCTTCCAAAGAACGCGTATGTACACTAATGAAAGGTTTTTCTAGGCTATAGTTCAACTCCATGAGATCTCGTAATGCCTGTGCACGCCCTTGGTTTGCTGCCAACAAAGCCTCAGTCACCTTGCCTTGTTGCAACAGTAGGAGCCATAATCTAGTGTAAGCTCTTTTGTACATATGGCGAAAGGTAATCTTCAAGGCATCTTTTAGGTGAATAGAAGCCCTAACTTCGTTGAATATGTTAACGCTGGACTGGTAACATTCACGGGATTCTTGTAGAGAACCCATCGATTCAAAACTTCGACCAAGACTGAAATATGCTTTAGCCTCTCCAACCCTGTCATCAACCTGTTGAGCAATTTTTAAATGCTTTTCATGACATTCTTTCGCCTTTTTGGGATCTCCAAGATCTGTGTATACAGACCCTAGATGTCCATACTCGATCCCTATACCGATACTGTCTTCAATGCGCTTAGCGAGTTTCAGGGATCGGTTGTGGTATTCTAATGCAATTTGTAGATCTCCCAGGTCATAATAACAGCGACCCAGTAACGAATACGCGCGTTGCTCTCCCTCCGCGTCTCCAACTTCTTTGGCAACCTTGAGTTGACGCTCTAGGCAATGTATAGCTTTTTCGAAATCTCTCAGATGGGAGTAAGCAACAGCAAGATTGCTATTTGCTTGTCCCTCTTTTTTTTTATTTCCCAATTTTGCAACAAGTTTTAACTCAGATTGGTGGCATTTTACGGCTTTTTGGAAATTTCCGAGATGAACATAACTACTGCCAAGACCAGAATATGCAGATGCCTGTCCTTCCTTGCTTCCAAGTTCTGTTGAAATTTCAAGGCAGCGTTGGCAGTAGTCAAGAGCTTGATTAAAAAATCCAAGAAGGCCATAAGCATTGCCGAGACAAGAATATGCAGAGCACAATATGTACCTGTGCGGTTCTCCAATTTCTTCATTAATGAGAAGTTTAAGACAGTTTTCCTGGTATTTGATGGCCTTTTTGCATTCTCTGATACACTGATAGGCATTGCCAAGATCATGGTACGCCACGACTTGTCCAGCCCTGTCATTCAGCTCTGTGGCAAAAGTCAAATGAAGTTCATGACATTCGATTGCCTTCCTAAAATTGCCGATACACTGGTACGCTTGGCCAAGGTAAAAGTAAGCTTGTTTTTCATTCTCCCTGTCACCCACGTCTTTAGAAATTTGTAAATAAAGCCGATAGCAGTCAATTGCCTTTTGAAAATTACCCAGACGGTAATGATCGTTAGCAAGTGAACTATATGCCTTTCCCTCTCCAGCTTTATCGCCCATTTCTATTTCACCCTTTTAAATAAAGTTTGTGACACTCTAACGACTTTTTGAAGTCTTTGTTTTTGTAATAAGCCTCCCCAAGACCCTCATAGGCAACTCCTTTCAGACTTCTCTTTTCTAAGGTTTCGGCAATTTTTAACAGTCTTTCATAGTAGTAGAAAGCTGTTTTTGGGTCTCCTGAACTATTGTAAACGCTGCCAAGATTTGTGCAAGCCGCAAATTCCTGAACCAAGTTTTTCAGTTTTTCAGCAATGCTTAACTGGAGTTTATAGCACTCAATCGCATGAGGAAAATTTTTTGAAAGGTCATAGACGAGACCGAGATTTCCATACGCCCGCCCTTCCTCAGCTCTATCTCCCTCTTCTTTAGCAATCTCTATAGCGTGCTTCAAGTAGCTGATAGTTTCGTCGAGGTCGCTGCTGCAGTGAGCATGATTTGCACCTTTAACTGAGGTTTCTTCTTTAAAACTGTATTCTACTTCTTTTTTCTTAGTTTTAGGTGAGAAGCAACTTTCACCCTGTAAAAACAAAAGAGTACAGAGACAAACAATACATTATTGCCATGCATTTATTTTATCTTTTGTTCTACAACGGCTACCTGATTGGTTTACTATTCACTGAGAGCGGTCAGCAGGCGCAAAAATTTGGTAATCACGTGACCGTACACCGACCGACCCTCCCTCTGCACCAAACCACACCACAGGTATACCAATTTTAAAAAACTCAATCAACAGGCATGGCAACCCAAATGTAACTCGAGGTTATTTTGGCGCGAAATCGCATAGCCACATGCTAGTATCATGTAAACGAATACAGCTGCAAAACAAGAGGGTTTTTTCGCGTTTTTCGAGCGAACGAAGCGGGAATGGAGCTCGAGGCACGCGCGACTGTGCAAGGCGCAGAAAAATATAACGCTTCATTTTTTCTGCGCCTTCTCGCGTCGCGCGTGTCTAACACTCCTCCGGCGCTTGAATTCACTCGCCACAAAAAAGCCAACAAAAAAGCCTGTTCTGCAGGCTATAACTAATACAGAGCCAAAAGAAGGAACCGGGGTGAACTTGCACCCGCTGACAGTTAGAAGGAAATCTGATTAAAAGCAAACGTGCCTGAAGTAATATGAGGTATTTGAGATGAGTAAACGGGCAATATATCAAAAGGTAAAAAATGATATCTCATTTGCACCAGCATTCGCCGATTCTAATGAACCACGTAAACGCTCTGCAGTACATGATAGGAAAGCTCCACATCTGCGCTGTATTCTGCCCTACATAGCAGGTTTTGCATCTTCCGATCACGAAGCTGTCCCAACTATGACACATTGGCGTCACGCAATAATGATTTCAGTAGTGCAGAACTAGAGAGCCCGAACTCGCCCAGACAAATTAGATGTTTTAAAGAGAATTTTAGTACATTAAGCGCTCCCTCTCGGGTGTAATTGTGAAGGTCATATTACCTGCTTTCTAGTGCTTTCAATGATAGCTGTGGTCTTACAGGCCAGAAGGGTTGGGTTGTCTTTGTTGATCTTTTAAACGTTAAGTTTATTTAACTTCATAGAGAACAAGATTTTCTTCCATTCTTTATAAAATCAGAACTGAGTGGAGAGGGTGTAAAAGGGCTGTTCGTGTATTTAGTTTCTTGTATCGTGAATCAGGTCATTTACATTTCATTCACAGGGGAAAAAAGCTACTTATTAGCTATGTAATATCAAAGAAGTGAACAGAAACGCTGACAACTGAAGTCTCCTGACTCTAAGCAAAACTGAAGCAAATCCAAACAAATCAAAGCAACACTATTTTCTGGAAACCATTTGTTGTTGTTGTTGTTGTTGTTATTGTTACCTGACCCTCTTACCTTTACTTGCTAGATTCCTTTTCTTATTATAGAGTATTTAAGAGTAGTTATTAACTTGATTTATTATTCATTCAATCCTCGATTCTGATTGGCTGAAAGCTCACGCATAATTCACCATATCCAGTTTCTGATGACCAAATTTGGAAGAATTTTGTGTTTAATGAGGAAATGACGTCAAAAATGCAACGTTCGTGCAGGTTAAGGCACCTTTAACCGAGAAAACCTGGGGACGAGGTTGAGTTGTGTTGGTTGTGAACTTGAAAAATGGCGGATATTTCACTCGTTTCAAGAGTAAGAACTAGGCGAAAAAAGAACTAAAAACATGGCAAGAACAGCAAGAAGACAACTCGAAGGGCGACATCTGCTATTTGGAGAATATTTGCGGAGCTGGACAAAAATAAACGTGCACTATCGAAGATGAACTTAACATCGATCGATCGATGGAGGTAAGCGTATTTTAGCCATGTTTTTAAACTAGCAATTATTTTGACTGAATAATAAAACAATTATTGAATTCGGCTTTCGTATCATATGAAGAATTATGGAGATCTCGGAGGGTGTTATCCGCCAAAGATACTCAGCCTCATTCGTTAATTGTTAAATATCCAAGCTTCGTACCAAGAAGTATAGAATTGTAATTTTGCCTAGGGCTCAACAGATCAAGGGAAGGGGTTGATAAGTCTCAGAGGGTCTTTCTTGTGTTACGTTATTTTTGCTGTTTTGGTGTACTCTTCCGAATGAAGAATTGACTTCTTCGATTTAACTAGCTAGGGTGCTTACCGAAATCCAGAACTAGACACCTAGGTAGTTCAGCTTGAGAATGAAATCAGGTTTTTCCGTTAGCTTTCTCTATCGAAAGGACACATCACTACCGTGCATAGTTTTAGGAAAAGACCGAACTGGTTGATAGAGTTCTGGTTAATAGTCATAATAGTGGATTCTCTTGACGAATGGACTGGTCTGACGAGTCAGGAGCGTAGCGTCCACATACGCACATACGTCCGTGCGTACCGGCTGAAATCTTGAAAATACATTATATTTCATATTCCCTGAAAACATTTTTGTCATTAAATCGGGACGAGAGAGGATAAAGCTCTCTTGATCGGGATAGATTGATAAATCCTTCAATTTACCCGTCTGAAGGGTAGACATCTCGCCCTTTGCTTGTAACCTCCTTAAAGGCGTCACTGTTTTTTACCTTTATTCCGTAAACGTTGCACCCTACCGATAACACTAGAGATGTCGATTAAACAGCTAATTATTGCATTTTCCTTCGTATTTATTATCTGAAAATGGCATTTCTGAGCCCCTGAATTTGAAAAATTTTCCGGGGGAGCATGCCCCCAGACCCCCCTCCCCCGGTTTGCAGGGAGGATCAACCTTTCTTTCCGTGCCGCACCTTCAAACCTCCCGCTACGCTCCTGAGAGTTCTGACTAAGGATAAGGACCTTTAAAACAGACTTTGGTGCCAGTTTGTGACAGTCTTTTGCTGCCGTCTAGAAATGAATTAAATGTGCAAAATCGTTTTTTCCAGAATATTGTATGGTTAAAATTTGTGAAAGAAACAGGGCCAACAGCAGCACAATGGTTAATTATAAAATGATTTACACATCAAGCATGAAATCTGCTTTGCCTTTATAATGTAAACCATTTGCATAGTTTCAGTAAAATCCGATATGGAGGTCCTTTAGAATGTCCCAAAAAAGGATACTTCCAATCCCTTGACACACCAGTTGATGGCTTCTTCGTAGAGATGAAGTTTTACACAAGCACTCGCTCCTAAAAATTAAATATTTTAATAATATGTCGTCCGCGTTCTAGAATCTAATACCCTGTGTGCAGTGGTGTCGCAGCGTCCGGCCCAGAGAAACCACTGCTCGCAGGTACGATAAGGTCTCTGACAAAACATCATGGTAGCCTTAACTTGTACAATCCAAGACCGCGGTCTCTAGAAGTTAGGTATCAGTGTTGTAGTAAAATAACAACTGAAATAGCTTTCCGCTGGTAACAACTACACACTACACACTTTATTACTATTAGAAAATCCAACCACTCGGCTTTCCTAGTTCGAACGGAAAAAAGAGCTCTGGCATCGTCTTTAACAAGCTGCCTTTTCTTGTCGTATGATGGTGATTCCAGCCGGTATAAAAATACTTTAAACAATGACTGGACGCTCAAATGTTCTATCTGTTTAGTTATCCCGCTTTTCTGTTTGTTTTATTTTCACGTAAAATCCCTTCTCAACAGATCAAGGGAAGGGGTTGATAAAATCTCAGAGGGTCTTTCTTGTGTTACGTTATTTTTGCTGTTTTGGTGTACTCTTCCGAATGAAGAATTGACTTCTTCGATTTAACTAGCTAGGGTGCTTACCGAAATCCAGAACTAGACATCTAGGCAGTTCAGCTTGAGAATGAAATCAGCTTTTTCCGTTAGCTTTCTCTATCGAAAGGACACATCACTACCATGCACAGTTTTAGGAAAAGACCGAACTGGTTGATAGAGTTCTGTTTAATGGTGGATTCTCTTCACGAATGGACTGGTCTGACGAGTCAGGGGCGTAGCGTCCACATACGCACATACGTCCGTGCGTACAGCTGAAATCTTGAAAATATATTATATTTTGTATTCCCTGAAAACATTTTTGTCATTAAATCGGGACGAGAGGATAAAGCTCTCTTGATCGGGATGGATTGATAAATCTTTCAATTTACTCGTCTGAAGGGTAGACATCTCGCCCTTTGCTTGTAACCTCCTTAAAGGCGTCACTGTTTTTTACCTTTATTCCGTAAACATTGCACCCTACCGATAACACTAGAGATGTCGATTAAACAGCTAATTATTGCATTTTCCTTCGTTTTTATTATCTGAAAATGGCATTTCTGAGCCCCTGAATTTGAAAAATTTTCCGGGGAAGCATGCCCCCAGACCCCCCTCCCCCGGTTTGCAGGGAGGACCAACCTTTCTTTCCGTGCGCACACCTTTAAACCTCCCGCTACGCCCCTGAGAGTTCTGACTAACGATAAGGACCATTAAAACAGACTTTGGTGCCAGTTTGTGACAGTCTTTTGCTGCCGTCTAGAAATGAATTAAATGTGCAAAATCGTTTTTCCCAGAATATTGTATGGTTAAAATTTGTGAAAGAAACAGGGC